GTTGTTGTTATTATTATTATCAGCAGCAGCAGCATGGAAGCAAATGTAGCTGGTACTGATGAGCAAATTAACAGACTCAACTCATCTGTGTCTTTTTAGCATTCTTGTGTACTGTCAAGTCACTTCCAATCTAGGTTGATCCTATGAGTTAATTGCCTCCAAAAATGTCCTGTCATTAAACGCTCCGAGCTTGCAAAATGAAGGGCATGGCTTCCTTTATTGAGTCAATTCATCTCATGTTCAGTCTTTCCCTACATCATTCACTTTTCTTAGCATTGTCTCCCTCCTCCCCCATGAGTCTTCTTTTCACCATATGCCCAAAATATGATAGCCTCAGTTTAGTTCTTTGGTTTTTGACACCACCATGATATACATGAATAGATATAAACTCCCAGATAGAGCATTTATACAATGAGTAAGTTTCTACAGGAGTAGCATGTTGATTAATTTATTGTGGCATTAACTGGACACCAGATGCTTTTCAGAACAGCAAAATGGCTTACTTTATATCCTGCATATACTGTATGATATTCAAACTAGATGCTCACTTCAAATCAATTCCCCAGTTCCTTAATCTTCTTTTAAGGGCAAACACTCAAGATAATTTTAAGTGGCTCCACTGTAAAAGTGAAGAATCACCTGATCTCCTCCACAAACAAGATGAATAAAGAGTTTTATAACGGAAGGGGGTCTGTAATCAGTGGAATGAGTTTGTAATCTTCATCAGGAAGATTTGAGGCGATTGTTGGCACAGGTAAATTAACAGGGCCTATCCCAGCAGCTCCTACTGTACGTATAGCCTCATAATCGCTTTCCTCACAGGAGAACCGCTTCCTGTCCGCTGTCCGTCTTACGGTTAAAGAACTGGGACGGCAGGGATTTAGGGCGGTTATTGGCCAGGAGCCATGTTTCCTTTTTTCCTTATCCGGGCTGTTCGCATTTGGGATAAATCTATATACTGTAAACAGCGCCTATATGCGGGGGATTGTTGTTCCTGAGGGGATTCGCTGGACTGGAAGAACCAGGATTAGTTAAAAAAAAAAAAAGCTACTCTGGAGGGAAAGCCTCGTCTCGGCTTTCGCAGCCCCTTCAGGATGTGGGTCTGGTAGCACAGGCGGCTCTTCAGCGCTAACGGGAATAGGGGGGGGGAAGGGGGAGGGGGCACGACCAAGAGCCGCCTCCCTCCTTCGCTCTCAGCCGGGGAGCGGGGGCATCGCCGGCTGAGGCGGGCGGCTTCCCAGTCAGCTTGTGAGTGGCGGGAAGGACAACGGGAGGGGAAGGCGGTGGTTGGCAGCGGCCGAGGGGAGGAGCGGCCGCTTCGCAGCCACGGGAAGGGGCAGGAGGAGGGCAGGGAGAAAGCGCTGGGACCGCACAGGCGCCGCTGTTTCCGGCTGCCGGTGGGGATGTGGTGCGAGGGCCCCGGGCCCCCCAACAGACGGAGAAGCTGAACCGCCGGGCAGAGGTGGAGAATGGGGTGCGGGAAGATGGCGGCGCCGGCGTTGCCGACGACTTCTGCAGTTTCCTCTGGCAACTCCGGGTCGCGGAGCCGTACTCGAGTGAGCGGCGTGAGGAGACGCTGCCAGTGGCTGATTTACTGGGTGCCTGTTCTCTTCATCTGCAGTATTTTGTCCTGGTCCTACTACGCCTATGTCGCCCAGCTCTGCCTGCGTGAGTCCCGCCAGGGGAGGGGAGGGGAGGGGAGGGGAGGGCGCTGGCTTTCTGGCAAGTGGGGGCTCCGGGGGGTGGAGAGGAGGGGCCCCAGTGGCACTTCTGGCTGATGACAAACGTGACAGGCAGGGGAAAAGACGGACTGGCTGGCTTCTCCCCGAGTTGGAGATTTGTGCTAATCTAGTTCCTAGGCAGGTTCTCCCTCTTTCCTCCCTGGCCGAAGCAGTGGCAATTTTATTTTCGAGTATTTTACTCCATCCCTTTTGCCTGCAAATGAGCCCAGTTTCACTCTTGCTTTCTTGGTGCTCAGGGACGGATACAACAAGCTTTGAATCAGACTCTTTAGCTTGTTCTGTTGTTATGGTCTGGTATCTGGATCTGTATATATATGGGCTTCTTGCTAGGCAACTGACCTCTAATACTCAGCTGACAAGAGTATTTTGCAAGAGAGAAAAAGCATTGCAGACTGGGAAACCTGACTTATTGACAGGAGTAAGCAGGAAATTCTATGTCAGACTTTTTAAAAGAAGTTTTTTAATCTTTTGAGATCAAGATTAGTTTAGCCTCTTGAATCTTAACCATCTTAGACAGTAAAATAGTGGTAGAAAGACAAGTATGCTTCTATAAACATACATGGATTTTTCCTAGATATTTATGGAGGAAGTGATGGTTCCAGTTGATGTAATATTTCACCTACAAAGCTGAATATTTAGTGTTCTGGATTATTTAGTGCAGAATAACAAGGGTAATGTTGCACAAATGTCTCGGAACACAACACTGCTCCTGCTTTGCTGTAGTTTGGGAGTGGTGGTGACTGCTACTACTGCAGGTTGTTGTTTACATGCTTAGCATTTCCTGGTTTGAGACAAGTAGGCTCTCCTTTTCTCACACTGTCTCCACAGTCTTACCCTTTCCCCAACGATACAGCAGGCAACATCATGGATGTACAATGATAAGGTTGGAAGGTGAGATAAGAAAATATTAGCTATATAACACTCAGCAATTAAGATTGTTGTAATTTGCCCCTTTCTAATAAGCAACATGTGCTCAGTCAGTAAAATCCTGTGCTAAGTGTAGAAATAAAAAACAGACATACTACTGGATTTCTTTAAAGACAGTGAGAGATACAGTTAACTGTTGTGACATATAGTCAAATTGTTGGGGCTATTCCAGGTCTGATTTTTATTGTGAGTGCTCTTGTTCAGTGACTGTGTTTACTCTAGCTGGGCACATGTTGCTTATTAGAAATTGGCAAATTACAACAATCTTAATTACTGTTATAGAGCTAATATTTTCTTATCTCACATTCCAACTTTGCATGGTATCTTGCATGTTTGCAGTTCAGAGTTACGGAATAATGTAGGATTGCTGAAAGATGGCTGCCATTAACATAGTACTGTATTGGCATTGTAGTATTAATGGTGATCAAAAATGGTTTCATTTGAATTTAGCATCCCAAATTTATTTCTGTTCTTTCAGGTGTTATGTAGCAGGTGTTTAAAGGACTGACAGCTATGTTCTAGACTACCTAAAGTCCAAAATAGTAAATGGTGCTTCAGTTCTTCCATATACAGTAGTAGCAATCTCTTTCAGAACTATAGCCAACTTTAAGCCCAATGGGTTCTATTTGTAATTTATGGCTTAAATCCAGCATGAATACACTAGAGGAATGCTACTGCATTTTCCACTAATGCAAGCAATAATGCATTTATTCCTATGGTCAGTAGTCATAGTAGAGCTTCCTTGACAGCCTGCACAAGTAGAAACTATGTTGCTCCCCCTCGCCTGCACATAATCAAGAACAATGTGTCCATGACCACAACATCATTTGTGCTAGCAGAACAATACTTTAGGTTGTAGCTTACATATTGGTGGGTTTGGATCCCAGTTCATGCCCCTGTATACTAGAATTTATGTGCAACCATCCCTGATTTAGTTTGGTCTGTCAGAGAACAAGCAACAACACAAAATAGGTGGAGATATTGTTAGTGTCTAATATTTGTTATTTAGTGGTATACTTTGAATGTCGAGGCTCTATGTAGCTGCCTAGGCCAGGGAGTCTGCATATAATTAATTAGTAGTGGTTTGTGACAGACATAGGCATAATTGTGGCAAATAGCTAAAGCTACCAGTGAACTTTGCCCAGAGGAATATATGTATTTTTGAAATGTTGCCAGTACATTGACAGAAAGGCACTATGTTGGGTTGGAAGGGAGAACCTGTTATAAACGAACCGCAGTGCTTAAACTACAGTATTGCAGTCAAGATTCTGCTCATGACCTGAGTTCAATCCTGACAGGCTCAGGTAGCTGGCTCAAGGTTGATTCAGCCTTCCTTTTTCCCAAGATCAGTAAAATGAGTACCCATCTCACTGGGGGTGGTGGTGGTGAAGTCTCCCTTGTGTAATTATATTGTCAACTGCCCAGAGAGTGCTTCAAGCATTGTGGAGCGGTATATAAGTAAAGGCAATGAACATACATACACATATACTGCCTGTTTCTACTTTCCTGCTAGAAACAAAAACAAGAACTTATTGAACAGCTGTTAAAACAGAAATGTTCTTACTTTGTTATGTGGAGTCCAATAGAGAAGAATCGCATGTACTGTACATAGATTTGAGGATTTTGGACTGTAAAATGAAATATATTGGGGGGGGGGAAGGCTATTTGCTTTTTTCCTAAAATACAGGTCTGAGTCTCACAACAATCTGGACAAAAAGTATCTTTCTAGAACTAATGCACACATTGATGGTTTGCACATGGTAGTGATGTTATGTACAGATGCTATCACATAGAAGATCATATATTTAACATAGTATATTTTGGTTTGTTTATAATGCTGTGCCAAAAGTTCAAACATGTACAAACATATTATTTTATTTTACAGTATAGTCCCTGTACATTTGCATGCAATCTATTTAAATACCAAAGCATAGTATGGTCTTGATGGATGGGGAGGAGGGAATTGAATGGATGGAAGAAAGGTGATTGTATAGAAAGATATGACTCTTACCCATATATCTTGGAAGAAGGAGACAGTACATTTAGCAAAATACAGAACTTCAAAGCCATCTACATGTTGGAGCTTCTCTGTTAATGAAAGTAGAATTCTATGTGGTCAACCTGCCCAGAGAAGTCAGTGTAAAACAAAGGAGAATAGTACAAGACTTAGATACATATGATAAATATTGCCAATCAAACTCAACTAGATACACAGAAATCTGGCAGCGAGCTGTTGGATAAGAGGTTAAAATGTTAGAGGAAGCTGTTTCTGTGGAAAAATGAATTACTTGACAGTTTATTTATACCAATATCTATTTGCCAGGGAAATAACACAACTTTATTCTAGACACACTTCCTTTCTTTTTGTTGGGTAGCTGCAGATTTAGACATTGCCAAGAACTGGAAGAGTGGAAGGGATTTTTCCCCCCAACAAAGTGAATTGAATGGGTAGAAAAATGATAGATCGGCTGAAAAAAAAATTATCCTGAAGGACAAAGTGTATTGCATATTGCATGTTTTAAATTTACAGGCCAGAATCCTGTTGGGACTTTGCTTTGCAGTGAGTGAAATCACATATTTATTTTATTCATTTATTTATTTGATTTGTATCCCGCCTATCTGGACTACCAGACAACTCTAGGCGGCTTAAGCCAGACCACATAAGCCATGGTACCAAATTGCTGTTAATTAATAAGATGCTAGTCATGTATGTACTTACATGTGTGGTTGAGTGCCAGTCACATAACCAGACACATTATGTGTCCTATGTTAATTAGCTGAAGTTCACATCCACAACTTACCGTATTTTTCGCACCATAAGAGATGTGTCCTATGTTAATTAGCTGCAGTTCACATCCACAACTTACATGATTTCCCTTAATTTAGAGTAAAATCATAAATGTGATTCTGGCCATCTAATATGCCAGTCAGAGTCTTCTGCTTCATGAATATTACATACCAGAGTCTATATACAGTGGACCATCGACTTACAGACGGCTCGACTTACAGACTTTTCTAGTTGCAGACTTCTCTGGCTGTAAAATTTAGATTCGACTTGCAGCCAGAGAATCGACTTACAGACCAGAAAAAAACCAAAATGGAATAAAAATAGAATTAAAACCACTGGTTATGGGATTAATTGGTTTTCAGTGCATTGTAAGTCAATGGAGATTCGACTTACAGACTTTTCGACTTGCAGCCACCATTCCAATACGGATTAATTTCTTAAGTAGAGGGTCCACTGTACAAGTGTGTCAAGTCTGATACTTTTAAACCGAAATGCAGATTTTAGACTTACTTTGTTTGCCATTAAGGAATCTGAATAAAAATATATTGCTACTGCTGTTCTTGGAGTTTAAACTTGCTATGCATAGTGTTAGAGCCACTGTACTTTTGTTACTTATTTTTAAGGTTTGATAGTGTTGTGTAGTGATAACATCTATAATGTTTACTATAGGTAAGGTTCTCTTATTTTTCTTAATTTTGTTATTATGTTTTTATTTCATAAATACTGATTTTGTTTTTGTCAGTACTGTTATCAGTACTGAATGTCTTTGGATTTTTTGTTTTTATTGCATTTTGAACAGTAATTATATAGCAGTTGCTCAAGTACTTGTTTTTCTTTAATCTTAGGTCTTCTTGTGTTTTTTACAATGCTGTCCAAAGAAACAGTTGAGTGTGTATTTATTTACTGCATTTATAGCCAGGCTTTCTTCTAAGGATGTCAAAGCATCAGACATGATTATCTTCCCATTTTAACGAGAAGCCTGTGAAGTAAATTAGTCAGGGAAAGAATGATTGGCCCAAGATTACAAGTGAGCTTCATGGCTGAGATCCAAATCCCATGTTGTGCTCTCCAGTGCCGGAACAACAGAACTTCATTTCCCTCTGCCTTCCAGCTTGGAGACTTCACCAGGCCTTTGGAGCATATTGTTTGGGTGCATGTCACCTCATTGCTCTGGATGTTGCCATTTTGCCAACAGAAACTGCCCTGAATGT